TGTTGACTTTCTGTGGGCACGTTTAACCTGTAATTTGGAAGAGGAAAATACAGTCTGGCACACATTCCTGAAGGGTTGCCAGTCCCAGATCTATCCATTGCATAGCCTGCCAGAATGGGAAAGATAAGTACCTTACAGATCAGTATCCACAGCAACAGATACTGGAATTTTATTTTTTTAATACATATAAAAACCCAACAAAAATAATTACTTTTTTATTTTCCAATTTCATAATAGTAATAATGACCTTTAGGTCAGGAATTTTCAGCAGTTAATGACTGTCTGGCTCTTTCTTTGGTTCTTGGTTTCTCTAGCCAGTCATTAACAGTGAGAAAAGTGCCTTCTCCTGTGGACACTTTGGCTTAATCGTTACCTTTTCATGCTACAGAATGCACCAGCTGGGAAATAAGTGTCTCCTATGCGAATGGATCCACGAAATGTGCCTTGGGTTTCATTTCTTTGAAAGAATATTCTGTGAGGGTGTGAGAGTTTACTGTAAAAGATGATTGACTAGTATCCACAGCCCTGAGAAAAGTTAGATCACTCTGAGGAATTGGGACTGAGGATGGTTTGAGGCCATAGATCTCAAAAGATTAAATCTTCAGAATTTATCTGTGTAATCTAGGTTCCCTTACTCTTGGTAACGGAGTGTTTCGGAATTATATATGGACACAAATATTTTCTTACCCATCTTTTAGGATCACACAGGAACAGGACCATTTTTTTTTTGTTTGTTTGTATTTTTATATGTAATCACTGTGATACTGAAAGCACAGTGTGGTGACAGTCTCTCAAGAGTTAAAATTTAAAATACAAAGGGGAGCAAGCCTCTGGAATGCTTACCCTGCTCCATCTGGATAGTAGATTCCCTCCTTCCAAACACCCTCTCTCTCAAAACACCTAGAAGCTGTATATGACTTTGTTCAGAGGAAAATACATTTATACATGGAAATGACTTTGTCTTGCACACCATTGTAATACAAAAATTGCAAACCATGGAATGGAAGTATCTTCTGACCACTCTACTGATCATATTCTTCATAAAAATTAGCCAGACTGTGAGTATATTGTGTTCCTGAACATATCTAAACCTTTGAACAGTCTTCAGTTCTTGTGCCTGTTAGCTGAGCTCTTCTTTACCCTGTATGACTTTTAATGCCATTGTTCCAATACAGTGTTACCCAAAAAAATGTGAATAGATCTTTCTTTTTTGTGACTATCAAGGTATATTGGAGCTTGAAAACAATTGTGTAAGAAATGCACTACTTGGAGGACAAATAAATCCACAAGATAACGATAGTTTTCTAAACCACATATTCAATGTGTAGGGATTCCCAGTGGTAGTCCAACATATGGTTACTACTGAAGAGACAGGTAGTGAAGCACCTCCACAGGGACAGTAAAAGAAAATGGGAATTTCTTTAGCAGATTTAAAGTCAATATGGTGTCCTTCGAGAATTTGGTACTAAATATGGAATAATGTGAATGATGAGCCTAATTTTAATGCTTTGCTGGGAAAAGAGATTTGGCACCTGCCTAACTTTTATTGGAACTATTAGCTTTTCATTTTGTATCTTTAAGTGAAAACAGAGTGTGCGTGAAAGCTGCAGACATCCGCCTTTGCTTGAATGCTTTTTTTACTTTTCAAGAAAAATAACACCAGCAAAATGCAAGTAGTGTTCCAAGAAAGAGCCACTCAGGAGTCCCACAAGGGTTGGGACTGTGTTTTGTGGTTTTTCCACTCTTGCAGTGACAGTATTACTTTCTCAGCTGAGGCTTCATTTGCATTTTGAAAGTACAACAATTTACTTCTCAGCAGGGCTGTGCTGTTTCTAAAAGGCTGGACTGGCTCAAAGATTTAAATCCAGTAAGGTTCCAGTAATTCCCTTTACAATGAGTTTTAAAATCTACACCTTTAAAATAGCTCTGCACCTTTAAACTTCAAGTTCAACTCCATGCTAAAGCAGCTGGCTAACCATTAGTAGAAATGGGAAAGGTCCAAAAGACAGGAGTGACAAGTGACTTGTGTTTCATTCACTGCTTTAATGGATTTTTCCTCAGCTTCACAGCTAACCAGTGCAGATTATTTATAGATTTTAAAGGCAGAAATTAACACTGTTCCTTGTAGGCAGAAGAAAAAAATGTATGCAATCATTATTAATTCTTTAGCATTATGATGCCTTCTGGCTCAACGGGACGGCAAGGGACAAAGAGTAAACATGCATTTATCATCCTGACCCTTATCTGTTCCCAAAAATGTCCTTCAGTGGAGAACTGTGAAACAGCCTGCCTAAAGGATTTGAGACCTTTTATTTTATTGCTGCTGATGCAAAAATCTTTCCAGTCTTTGCTGTAATTCAACATTCAAATGTAAAATATTGCAAACACCAGATTAGAGTGTTCCTTTTCCCCAAAAGCCCAAACCAACCAACAAAGCCACTATGATGCTACTGCCTTCACAAGAAGCCTTTTGGTTTCCTTTCATTGGGACAAATTACCCAGGCGTCCTTGGTACCCAAAGAGATCTCTCCCTTTCCAACTCAAACTAATTTTTGAGTCCTGACCTTTTCTTTGTTTCCTTTTATTTCCAGTTTTACCATTGCTCTCAGTTCCTTTCCCTCCACAGCTGCCTTACACACCCCTAATAGAACTCAGCTGTGGAGGGAATGTAATCCTGGCAGGAGGCAGTCTACCCAATCCCTCACTGGCCACTGAATTTAGTAGAACAGGATTGTCCTTCATGAAATTTTACCAGCGTCCATGGAGTAATTCCAGCAATCAGCCTGTCCTGTCATCTCTCTGCAGCTCCCTGTGCCCCACTGTAACACGAGGTAGAGGAGACAGCAGTGATACAGCAGCTGGTATTGTCTGATCAGCAACAAAATCCTTGCTGGAATTTCATTTCCCTTGCAGACTTGCTACTAGAATACATTTGTCATCCATACTTTGTAGCAGAGTTATATTTGCCTGTAATTACACACGAGTCTGGCAATACTTTATTGTTAACATAAAGTACTGCCATTTAAATCCCCAATCTTAAACTGGAGTATTTGCAAAACTCTGTAATTGCTAAAATAATAAAGCTGCCATTACTGTATGAGAAGTTTACAGCTTGTTGGCAAAATACTTACATTGGCTTAACTACACCTGTACAGATTCCTTATGTTTTCATGTGCTGTTTAAGACAGCCAGATTTCTGCTGGGCACAACCAAAAGTTTCTAGCACTGTCACAGAATGGCTGAGGTTGGGAGAGGCCTCAGGAGCTCCCCTAATCCAGCCCCTGCTCAAGGGGTTGCCCAAGACCGTGTCCAGATGCTTCTGAGTTACTTCCAAAGACGGAAACTCCACCAGCTCTCTGGGAACCTGTGCCAGTGCTCAGTCAAAACTGAACTCCGTGTTTTCCAGCTTGTGGTCTGATCCCATGTAGGAGGAGGTCAGTAAAAGATAACCAGGAAAAACAAGTTCAGTGTGGTTTTACTCAGTGCAATGGGCACAGATAGTACTGCAAATGCCCAGGGATATGAAAACCCACAAAGACAATATATTTTGGTTTCATTTTGTGTTGGTGTTTTGCAAACAAAAAACTGGTGATGCCCCTCTCTGGTACTCATTCTATGATTTTTTTTTTTCCTATTTTTACATGAAATAGTTTTCCCCACGTGATTGTTCTGTTCCTAAGTCTGGTTGGGTAAAACAGACCTCAGGACTAGAAAGAGCAGTATGAGTTTGCTCTGAACCATAAGCAGTTTTGCCACATTACCCTTTTCATACATGCACCTCAAAACATCCATACTTTGTATCTAAGAGTCTCCAAAAGTTTGGGAATTCGTGACAAAACTTGTGCCGTCTCTAAGCCTTGTTCTGACACACCTGCACAGCATTTCTCAGCTCTCTGTGCTCTTTTGGGAGAGGACAGGGGAGCTTTGTGCTCCTCCAGCATCCCCCAGGGCACGGAATGATGGAGTGCAGGTGGTTCTGCATTCCCATGAGGACCTTCATGTAAAAGCTGACGCTTGAGTGCTGTTGCCAAGTGGCAGATGAGTGTGGGGCTCTGTGTAGTGTTTGCAGGCCAGGAAGGATCCACTCTCCTTACACAGGTCCCTCCTGCCCCTTGAAACAAATCCCACTGTGTCACCCCTCTGTTTGTCCTCCAAAGGTGATCAGAGCAATGGAGCACCTCTCCAAGGAGGAAAGACTGAGAGAATCGGGATTGTTCAGCCTGGAGAAGGCTTCAGGATGGCCTTGCCACGGCCTTGCAGCACCTGAAAGGGACTTAAGAGGAAAGATGAGGAGAGACTTATTACAAGAGTGCGTAGTGACAGGACAAGGGGAAACAACTTCAAATTCAAAGAGTGCAGGTTTACATTGGCTATCAGGAAAAAAATTCTTTAGAGTGCTCAGGGTGGTGAGGCCAGGCTGTCAGGGAATTCATGGATGCCCCATCCCTGAAGTGTTCAAGTGTTGGATGGTGCTTGGAGCCCGTGCTGCAGGGGAGGCTGTCCCTGCCCGGGGCAGCAGGGCTGGGACGAGACCATCTTTAAGGTCTCTCCCAGCACAAACCACCCCATGATTCTCTGGAACAAAGCCTATTTCTGCGGCACACGTGTATGGAGTTCTCAACTTGGGGGCAAAACCACCTTCCCGAGGCCCTCCCTGGGCCGGCTCGGGACGGGTGAGGCGGGATCCGAGCCCCTGCCGCAGGTGCCGGGGCAGTGCGGGCCGTGTGCCCCGCAGGGGGCGGCAGGCAGGGCGGGGGCACCGAGCGGGGCCGGGGCCGTACGGGGCCGCGGGCGGGGCGCTGTTTGTTGGCGGCGGGCACGGAGCGGGGCCGGGGCCGTACGGGCTCTACAGGGCCGCGGGCGGGGCGCTGTTTGTTGGCGGCGGGCACCGAGCGGGGCCGGGGCCGTACGGGCCGTACGGGGCCGCGGGCGGGGCGCTGTTTGTTGGCGGCGGGCACCGAGCGGGGCCGGGGCCGTACGGGCCGTACGGGGCCGCGGGCGGGGCGCTGTTTGTTGGCGGCGGGCACCGAGCGGGGCCGGGGCCGCTCCCGCTGCCCCCGCCCGGGCCCGCCCCGCTCGCGTCGCTCCGCGCTGGATTGCTCGCGCCTGGCCGGCGCCGTCTGGGGCCCGGCGGGCGGCGCGGCCAGGCCCGCTCAGCCGAGCGCAGAGGCGGCCGCAGGAACAATACGGCGGCGGGCGCGGAGCCGCGCGGCCGCCCCGCACCATGTACGCGTTCGTGCGGTTCCTGGAGGACAACGTGTGCTACGCGCTCCCCGTGTCCCGCGTGCGGGACTTCAGCCCCACCTCCCAGCAGGACTTCGACAACCAGAAGGTCTACACCGTGTACCGCAACCCCGAGGAGGCGGCGGACGAGGACGACGAGAGCCCCGGCGAGTGGGGCGACCGGCTGCTGCTGCACAAGGCCCAGATCCTGGCGCTGGCAGGTGAGGGCGGGCCGGGCCGCGGGCGGGGGGGCGATGCCGCCCCCTCCCCGCTGAGGGAGGGATGGAGGGCGGGGGGCGAGGGCCGGGGG